CACAAGAGTGCTCCCATCACCATTACTGTTCCGGGGCCTATACCCTACCAATCTGATAAGGCTGTTCCATGGCACTATGGGGCGGATGTTTATGTTCTGGGTGTGAAACAAGAGGTCAACATTGATACTGGTATCTCCAACATCACCGGGCCTGCTAAGGTCACTCGTAGTGGAAGACTGTTCTCGCCAGACATTGCTCCTCCGGCAATTCATAGGCCTTTGATCTTCACACCTGCCAGTGTGCCTGTTTCTCCCTCTGACCAAGTATCCACCCCTGCTGCTGAGTCATCTGATACTCGGGGCAAGGGAATTGCTGCTGATATGCCTGCCAGGACGGAGGCACCAAAGACCATTGTTGAGGCTTCCAAGCAGGAAATGGAAGAAATCCTCAAGATAATAAAGAAGAGTGACTTCAACGTTGTAGAACAGGTGGGGCACACCCCCTCTAAAATTTCCATGTTGTCACTGCTGCTGTGTTCAGAGGCCCATGCAAAGGCTCTGATTGCTTTCTTAAAGACTGCCCACGTACCCCAAGAGACGACTGCTGACCAGTTCACCGACTGTGTGGCCAACCTAACTGCTGATAATGGCCTGGGTTTCTCTGATGCCGATCTGACAGCAAAGGGGAAGAACCATAATGATGCCCTGCATGTCTCCATTGAATGCAGGGGCACTACTCTTGCTCATGTGCTGGTTGATACAGGTTCCTCATTAAATGTGCTGCCCAAGAAGGCTCTGGATAGGCTGGATTGTGAGGGTCTAGAGCTCAAACCAAGTAGCATTGTTGTCCGGGCCTTTGACGGGTCCAAAAGAATGGTGCATGGTGAAGTGGACATCCCAATCAGGGTTGGGTCACAAGTATTTGATTCAAAATTCTATGTGATGGATATCCATCCGTCCTATTCTTGTTTGCTGGGTCGCCCATGGATCCACAAGGCTGGAGCTGTGACCTCCACATTGCATCAGAAGCTCAAGTACCCGGTCAGGGGGAAAATTGTAACAGTGCAAGGGGAAGAGGAGTACATGGTCAGCCACCTCAACTCTTTCAGATACGTAGAAATGGATGGGGAGTTCATTGAAACCCCCTTTCAACATTTTGAGGAAGTACCACAAACCTTGGCAGCAGCAGAAGATGAAGAGGTTTCTCCTATGAAGATGGCCTCCTTAAAGGATGCCCGGGCTGTGATCGAAAGAGGTGAATGTGCAAACTGGGGCAAGCTCCCTGATCTTACTCCTAAGACTAATAAGTTTGGGCTGGGTTTCACCACAGAAGCTCAGAAAGCGGTACGCAAGGCAAGAATTGGAAGACCTCCGGTGCTCATCACTCACTCTGAAGTGAATGCTATTGGAGAGGAAGATGAAGTGGAAGAGTCAGAGTTCGATAGCTGGATCTACCCGACGGCCGACGGTGGATTGACCAATTGGACTGCTAAAGATTTTACACCCATAACTTTTGTTCCTCAGTAATGAATTTCTTTGTTTTTGATTTGTAATAAACAATAATTTGAGACTATATGGCCCGGTGTCTTACCCGGGGCACCGTGGTTTTATTTATGAGGGCTTTTGTTTGGCACTATCATATATCATGAATAAAAGCATTGGACGTTTTTCACAATTCAAATTTTGCGCTTCTTTTCTTTCCTTTCTTTACATATTGCAAAACAGCTGTATTTACACACACACTCACTCATACAGGTTTCAATCCACTCTGGATCTCACTGGTAACGACTCTGCTACTGCCAGTTATGACTTCGAAAATCCGATCAACTTAGCCGAAGACGAAGGTGAAGATGATTGCGAAGTGCCTGGTGAACTTGCAAGATTGTTACAACAGGAAGAGAGGGCAATTCAACCCCATGAAGAGCCAGTGGAAATAATAAACTTGGGTACTGAGGAAGACAAGAAAGAGGTGAAGATTGGTGCCAACCTAGAACTCAGCGTGAAGCAACGGTTGACTCAGATGCTGCATGACTATAAAGAAATCTTTGCCTGGTCCTACGAAGATATGCCCGGATTAGATACCGACATTGTGGTCCATCACTTACCAACTAAAGAAGATTGCCCTCCGGTTAAGCAAAAGGTCCGCCGTATGCGTCCAGAGATGTCTGAGAAGATTAAAGCCGAGGTTATGAAGCAGTTTGATGTCGGGTTTCTTGCAGTGACTTCTTACCCTCAGTGGGTTGCTAATGTGGTGCCAGTACCTAAGAAGGACGGCAAGGTCAGAATGTGTGTCGATTACAGGGATCTGAACAGGGCCAGCCCCAAGGATGACTTCCCTCTACCTCACATTGATGTCCTTGTTGATAATACAGCTCAGCATAAAGTGTTCTCTTTTATGGATGGTTTTTCAGGCTACAATCAGATCAAGATGGCTCCTGAAGACATGGAAAAGACTACATTTGTTACTCAGTGGGGCACCTTCTGCTACAAAGTCATGCCTTTCGGACTAAAGAATGCTGGGGCAACCTACCAACGTGCCATGGTTGCTTTATTTCATGACATGATCCATCATGAGATAGAAGTGTATGTTGACGACATGATCGCTAGGTCCCAGACTGAGGAAGAGCACCTAGATCATCTGCAGAAACTGTTTGACCGGTTGAAACTGTACAAGCTGAGGTTGAATCCGAACAAGTGCACCTTCGGGGTAAGATCGGGGAAGTTGCTAGGCTTCGTGGTCAGTGATAAAGGAATTCAAGTGGACCCTGCTAAGGTCAAAGCCATTCAAGAGATGCCAGTTCCTAAGACAGAGAAGGAAGTCAGAGGCTTTCTAGGACGTCTGAATTACATTGCTCGGTTCATCTCACACTTAACTGCTACCTGTGAGCCAATCTTCAAGCTGCTGAAGAAAGATCAGGTAGTACGTTGGAATGATGAATGTCAGGCTGCTTTTGACAGAATCAAAGAATATCTCCAAGAACCACCCATCCTTATGCCACCAGTTGAAGGGAGACCTTTGATACTTTACCTGACAGTGCTTGATAATGCAATGGGGTGTGTACTGGGGCAGCATGACGAGTCTGGCCGAAAAGAGCATGCCATTTATTACCTTAGCAAAAAGTTCACCGACTGTGAGACCCGATACTCACTGCTTGAGAAAACTTGCTGCGCTTTGGTATGGGCTGCTCGCCGGCTGAGACAGTATATGCTGACTCACACTACCTTGTTGATCTCAAAAATGGATCCTATAAAGTACATATTCGAAAAGCCTGCTCTGTCTGGGAGAATTGCAAGATGGCAGATGATCTTGACGGAATATGACATTCAGTACACGACCCAAAAAGCCATCAAGGGAAGTATATTGGCAGACCATTTAGCACATCAAGCTGTGGATGACTACCAATCAATGAACTTCGAATTTCCAGATGAAAGCATTATGATAGTAACTGACTGTGAAATACCTGGACCGGATGAAGGACCTGAACCAGGATCCCGATGGTCTATGCACTTTGACGGAGCATCCAACGCTTTGGGAAATGGTATCGGCGCCATAATCGTATCTCCACAAGGTACTCATACTCCACTCACCGCCCGGCTGTGTTTCAACTGTACCAACAACATGGCGGAGTATGAAGCGTGTATTATGGGTCTTCAAGCTGCGATCGACCTGAGGATCAAATTTCTGAGTGTCTTCGGAGATTCCGCTCTTGTGATCAATCAGATCAAAGGAGAGTGGGATACGAAACATCCAAACTTGATTCCTTACAGAGAATGTGTGTTGGCCCTAATCCCCCACTTCACAGAAATAACATTTGAGCACTTTCCAAGAGAAGAGAATCAGTTGGCGGACGCGTTAGCTACAATGTCTTCAATGTTCAAGGTTAAATGGGATAATGAAGCTCCCCGGATCACCATCTGGAAACTGGACGAACCGGCATACTGCTGTGATCTCGAAACTGAATTGGTAACTGAGAAGCCTTGGTACCACGAAGTGAAGAGATACCTAGAAGCTCAGGAATACCCTGAAGGAGCATCTGTCAATGATAAGAAATTCCTGAGGAGGTTTGCAGCCAAGTTCTTTCTTAGCAACGGCATCTTGTACAAGCGAAACCAGGATTCAACCCTACTGCGTTGTGTAGATAAGACTGAAGCAGAAAGAATCATGGAAGAGCTACATGAAGGGACCTTTGGTACACACTCCAGTGGACACACCATGGCTAAGAAGATCCTACGGGCAGGATATTATTGGTCCACAATGGAAGCTGATTGCTACCAACATTCTAGGACATGCCATAAATGCCAGATCTACGCAGACAAGGTGCATGTTCCTCCGGTTCCCCTGAATGTTCTGACTGCGCCTTGGCCATTTGCAATGTGGGGCATAGACATGATCGGTGAGATTAAACCTACGGCATCTAATCACTACAAGAAAATTAGTGTTTAACGACACAAAAATTGCGACAGTTATGTGATAACTGTCGTAATTGACATATAGAGACATTGTTTACGACAGTTGACACCAACCGTCCCTAATATTTATTTTGCGACGGTATATTTAACCATCATAATATTATTATTACGACGGTAAAACAACCGTCGGCCCCCATTTAACACTTTTAACATTGATTTTTCACCAACAACTAGTCACGACGGTAAAATTAACCGTCTTAAAAGGCATATCACGACGGTAAAGCACCCGTCGCACCCTTAAACCTTTCACGACGGTAAAATTATCCGTCCTTAAATTCATTTCACGACGGTAAAACAACCGTCGCACCCAAAATTCAATTTGCAAAGTTAAAAAGAAAAAGAAAAAAAAAGAATTATTTTGTTTTGCACAAGCCACTCGCCCACCGTGTTTTTCCTTTTCCTCAATTAGTCTCCAACTTTTATTTTGAAAAAAGAAAACCCCTTGTCACGTTCGTGTGGAAGATTCTCTGAATTCCCTGTCCCTTTTCGCGAGAAAACAGGAAACAGCCAACAAATTGAACTGAAGTGGAGAAGAAACGAGCGAGTCTGTGTTTGTAACTCGTGTACGCTGAGTCAAATCGTTCTTTGCAATGGAGAGGTTAGAGTTGAAAGAGGTTCAGAAACTCGAAGGTCACACCGATAGGGTTTGGAGCTTGGATTGGAATCCGGCCACTGGTCATGCCGGTGTTCCGCTCGTTTTCGCTTCTTGCAGCGGCGATAAAACCGGTATTCCAATTTTCTTTTTATTAGTTGTATCCGAGGTAAGACTAGTGGTGTCCATAGTTTTACTCAGTACCTTCAGTGCAAGTTGAACTGCTTCTTCCCTTGTGATATCATCCTTGTAGTCCTGTTTTAGAATTGACTGTGCTGCCTGATTGTTGGCACCAATGGCACAGCGCTAGTCCTGTTTTAGAATTGAATTGTGTGTAACCCTGCTTAGTATCACAGAGAGATTGAACCAACTGCTCAACGGGCATAGGCTCTTGGTACCCAAATGAGTAACGCTGTGCTTGGATCCTAGCGGTATTGATTAGGATGTTGACTCATCTCTTTTATTTTTCTATTGTTTATATTCAAAATAACATGTTCTCGTAAGTACTAGAATTCTGAAAATATAATTTTGAAGATTTAAAGATTTGTTTTTGTTAATTCTTGACCATATGAGTTACCGTAGGTAACGAGCCAGTTGTAATAGCACGCGGAGGATTCACGGGTCTATTCCCAGAAGGAAGTAGAGAAGCAATCGGCATGTCGAAGGAGATAAGCATTTTTCTTTGTAATGTTCAGTTTACAAAAGATGCTGGTGCCTTTTGTGTGACAGGAGTTAAACTTGACAATGCAACAACTATAGCAACGTTTGATCCAAATGAGAAAACCTACAACATTAATGGAAAGGATGTGCAAGGACACTTCATGGTGGATTACACTGCTGCTCAGATTGACCACAATGTGTCGAGTAAGTCTTCAACTAAGAGATTCTTTATTTATTATAAAGTTGAGGTTTATGTTCTTATCCTATGTTGCAGTGAATCAGGCCATTACACTTATTTCAAGTGTATGTTGGTAGAAGAGTTAGTGGTGTAACTCCAAAAAATTTAAGTTTATACCCAGGTTGGTGGAACTCTGTTGCATTGGCCATCTAGCACCAGAAATTCTTAGTTATGTGAATATTTAATTGAAGAAGGAGCGGATGTAAATGATGTTGATAGAGCTGGTGAAACTCCTCTAATGAATGACATCCTTTGACATAACAAAGAGGTATGCTTATTCTACCCATATACATATGTTCATTAGTGCATCACTTTCCATCTTTTCTTTCATCTTATCACTTCTTCTACTATTCAATTTCAGAATCTAGGTTGAGTTATTAAGAACAAAATTTCTAAGATGGTTCTGAAATTCTATTTTACTGTTGTTCTAGATCTGACTCTGGTTTCGTCAGTTTATAGGTATTTTAGTTGACACCTAATAAATGAGCACATCTAATACCCTAAGTACCAATATCAGTAATTACACTCTTTTTGATAAAAATAGTTATAAGTTAGGAGAAATCTTCTATCTGATGATGGTAACTTACAGTGGATAATGGACTATTATATTTCCATATGGAATCACTAAATTGATTTGTATTTGGTTTTGATGAAATGCAGTAGTTTGATTTTACAGATAAATATAGAGGAAAACATGACAGCAACATCATAGTTGCACAAAAGTACTACATATCTATCAGTGGCTATAATGTAAGATTTTTTGGTTCAATGCAATTCTGGATCAATATAAAAAAAACTATACATTTGAAATTTGAAATGAATATTCGAATTATAATTGAATGCACATGATGAATTTCTATGTCCTGCTGCATGGTTGTATTAAGCATCTAACAACCAATATTACTTGGATTACCTTGGTAGAAATGGCGACTCCATGGGAGAAATTGGTTCGCAAATGACTTCCCTGAAATGCTTGAGCCTCATTGAACTCGGACAACAATCCTGCTTGTGCATTTTTTTCATCTTCCCCAGTTACATTACCACTTATGCATTGCACCTTCTTCTGAATCACTGTGTCGTCGTGAATATTAAAAGATAAGTGATTCTTCATAATCTCTATTTGATTCACAATATTTACACTGCAACTTGTCATGTCAATTGCTTTGAAACATGATGCCTGACTGTTATAAATAATTTATGATGCAGGTCAGTTCATTGGTTGATGGCATGTGCAACATAGCATGTGGTATGTTGGACTCCTTGCTCCATAATTCTGCCAAAATTGCCCTAATTGCTCCACAACACGCCACGTCTTATGTTTTCAACATGACACGTCTTATGTTTTCAAACTATCAACTACACCTCTTTTCTTTATCAAAATGTAAAGATGCATTTCAAAACAAAAACTTCTGCTGCCCTACTTGATATCAAGATTGATCGAGAAATATTGGATTCAGTTACAGTTGCCCTTAAAGAATGTTTGTTTCTTTCATATCAGAATATGCAGAATATTATTCTATTGTTTTCTATTGCTGTGAGTTTTTAAACTTCCAATGTTAATTTATTTGTTCTAAAACAAATTATACAGATTTTCGCAATGACGTCTCATTAGTCTTGTTGTTGGATTGGTACTGCTGCTATTGGCTCCTATTATTAGCAGTTGGGTTTCGTTTTATTATAATAGTTCAATGACCATATGAATCTTTCTTGTGCTTACAATATTTTTTAATGTATATTACATCATCTTATATTTCATTTATTTGCATCAGGCTCTACGTTTGGAGTAACTCGACGTCGATTTCGGGTTTATGTACATGCTATTATTCTATTTACATATTATTATTCTATTTGCAGGTTCAGCATCTGATTGCAGAAGTCAGTGAAATTATGACTAATGATACTGTAGATAAGGCTGGTTTGTGGAAAAACAAACTCATTGATCAGTCATTGGAGCTTTTAGATTATTTACCTCAAGCAATTCAAGACATTTGCTTCTTGAAAGAGATCCACATGGAAATGTTCAAGTACCTAAAGTTGCATATCATTATATTTTGTGTTCATTTGTCTTCTTTATCCAATTTTGAATCAGTATCATTTTCTACCATGACAATTTGAGAGTTTTCTTGTACAGGCCAGGGTTTACTTTAATAAAATACAATGCTTCTATTTTGAGGAGCAGCAACTAATTCTTGGTGATTGTAATTTGTAGTTACACTCAAACTTTGTAAGATTGAGATTCCTTTAACTCGTTTGAAAATTTGAAATGTTGATGCTATCAGCTGATTGAAATTTTGGTCATGGAAAGGTTGCAGACTGTGATACCAGAGATTTTACTGATAAAAAAAGGGAGGACATGTTGGTTTCCGATTTCGTTCGACTTTGCTTTAAATATGAAGGTTCTGCAGTTCAGTGCAGTAATCAAATTGGTGTAAGTAATGGTGACTCTGCATCTGTACCGTATTTGAAGGATTGGCATTTTGTGAAGGTATCATTTTTGGCTTTTCATCACTTTATCATTCATTGTTGTACATTTGTAGTGCCTTTTCATAATTTACTTTGAAGTCTGCCCCTGTCAACCTAGATAATCCTCTTGTTGCATTAGAGTTATCATATGTTATGTTATACTACAGATGATGATTTACTAAGTTATTTCTTTTTCTAACTATTGCAGGAGTATCCTGATTACGTACCATACATCACTCCGATGTTCTTTTGTGATGATTGGCTCAACTTGTATCTCGATAACTTTAGAACGAATACTTATTCCGACAGAGACCAGCAAAATAAGGAAATATGTTGCTCTGACTATCGTTTTGTTTACATGGGAGTAAAAGGTGTGATTTTAGTTGGGAAGAAATCTTGAAATGACCATGAATCTCAGATGATTCTGCACTTTTCTATGCGAAGAGATGAGCAATCCAACAGTAACTTCTTACTTTCACTTCTTCTGGCAGGATCTTGGACTCCTCTACATGCTGATGTTTTCAGGTCGTATAGCTGGTCAGCAAATGTCTGTGGAAAGAAGAGATGGTTTTTTCTAGATCCTTCCCAGTGCCATCTTGTGTTTGACAGGCATGAATACATTTTCCTAATCGAAATTCATGGTTTTTATAATAAAAGTTGGGCATTGTGGTACAAAAACAATCAGGACATATTCTTTATTCAAATTATTTATGAACTCATTACTATTGGTGTCCACTTTGACCAAATTTTGTATGGATTATATTCCCTCGTACTTCCCATTTTCTTTGTTTGTTTTGGTTCTATCTCTACAACTTTTTATGTGTTCTTCTTAGGCAGTAAAGGATGAGGATGGAGGTTCTTTGATGTATAGTATTTTTGTTTGTTTTTCAGAGCTAATTATCTATAAGCTTTGATTCAGGAACATGAAAAGCTGTGTATATAATATCTTTGATGAAGTATCTGACTCAAAGTATCCTAGTTTTAAAAAGGTAAATCTATAGTTTCCTTCTTTTGATAAACTCTATTGATTCCATTATCATTTTTCTGCTTCAGCCTTCAGTGAACTTGTAACATACGCAGGCTATCTGGTTAGAATGCACACAAGAAGCAGGTGAAATCATATTTGTTCCTAGCGGATGGTATCACCAAGTTCATAATTTGGTATGTTTTGTTCCAATATTGATTGCTATTATATTCTGCTTTATAGAAGGTTGTTAAATACCAAATAAAATAACGACTCTAGCTTCTTCGATTGTGTTTCAAATGGAACTTGTATTTGACTTATTGCATCTGTTAAATAAGATACGTAAGAATTTTTCATGAATTTAACACAAAATTCATGAACGTTTTTAATCTAAAGGTTGAATAGGGTGTGACTTGGATAATCTACTATTGATATTAACGTGTGTTTGATTATGGGAAAATAATTGATTTTGAACGATTTGATTTTGTAAAATTGATTATGGTTAAAGTGCAAATAGGACTATGAGTAAAAAAAGTGCAAGTTTAGAGGATACAATGTTCTGTTTTCTAACTTAATTTTTCTCTCAATCTATTCTACAGGTTGGATTTGGGAAATGGGAAAACTCTTGATCTTGAACGGTGTTCCCGATCGAAGCTTCGAAAACAATGCATAAAGTATCTTGGACCTGTATGTGCATGCAACTTCTGCTTTTCTGCATAATTGTTTTATACTATTGACTTATATTCAAATTCTGCATAATTTCAAAAGTTATGGTATTTTCCTGCTTTTCTTACTGGTTAATTGTTTTTTACAGCAAGAGAGGGAGAACTATGAATATGTTGTCTGCGATGGAAAAATTATCAACAACCAATCTGGAGATTTTCTTCATACCAAAAAGGATTCTGAAGATGCTAAGTGGATATTTGTAATGAGCACCGAGAAGAAACTTTATGCTGGAAAGGTAACAATTAGTTTAAGCTATGTTATTCTTTCTCGTTCAATTGAGTCCTATTGATACATTGTTATAACCTCGCAGAAAAAGAAGGGGTTGTTCCATCATTCTTCTTTTTTGGCTGGTGGAGCTACCTTGGCTGCTGGACGGCTCGAAGCCGAGGATGGGGTTCTGAAGGTATAATTAACATTACATGATCGAGTTTTTCTTACAGTGTGACTATGCACGGTGTAATATATATTTCAATTTATGTGCGATGACAAAATTGGTTGATTCTTGTTGGTTTGATTTTTCAGTCCATCTCTGCATATAGTGGACACTATCGGCCAACAGACGAAACACTCGACGCGTTCTTATCATATCTCAGGGAAAATGGTGTCAATCTTGTTACCTTTCATGAATTTTGTGTAGGTATGCGTAGCTTGGACCAAATGGTAGTCAAGGAAGGATCATGGTCCTAGCATGGAAGTTTAACACAAAATCACTTAACACTAAGGACTTTCATGAATTTTGTAGAATATTGTAACATTTTTTGTAATTCTCTCAAGTTGTAGCAAACCAATGTAAATATTAAAATGAAATTTGGCCTTTGATGATATTTGAATTTTTCTTGTTTATTGGTAAAATTTACACTTCTTTTTACCTTTGATCACATTTTTTTGATATTATTGATGATTATTTGATATTAAATGTTTTTATTGTAATTAACTTTATTATGTTGAAAAGTGATAGAAAATAAAATAAAAATACTATAAATAAAAAAATATTAAAGTAAATAATAATTTAAATATAATAGTAAAATAATATTATATTTAAAATTATTTTACTAAATAATAATTTAAATAAAAATATTATTTGAAATTTATAAATCAGATTACGACGGTTAAAACCGCCACAATTTCTAACCTACGGCGGTAGAATAACCGTCGCAAACAACAACAAAAACAAAAAATAAAGTCAAATTCACGACGGTATATAACCGTCGCTATCTGTTGTGCGTGACAGTTTTTGCAACCGTCGCGAAATAGGCTGGGGACGCACGATTCTGCGACGGTACTTCTACCGTCGTAGATTGTAAATTGCGACGGTTTTAACCGTCGTAATCAGCCAAAATAACCGTCCCAATCTATCATTTTTCTTGTAGTGAATGGACATCGCTTCATCCTAGTGGCAATTGATTATTTTACGAAGTGGGTTGAGGCAGCATCCTATGCTACGGTAACCAAGACCGTTGTGGCACGGTTCATTCGGCACAACCTGATCTGTCGGTACGGTGTCCCTGAGCGGATTATTACAGATAACGGTACCAATCTGAACAATAAGATGATCGCTGAGCTCTGCGAACAGTTCAAGATACAGCACCACAATTCTTCTCCTTACAGACCAAAGATGAATGGGGCTGTAGAAGCAGCTAATAAAAACATCAAGAAGATCGTGCAGAAGATGACAGTAACGTATAAAGATTGGCACGAGATGTTACCGTTCGCTCTACATGGATACCGTACCTCAGCTAGGACGTCAACCGGGGCAACTCCTTTCTCTCTGGTTTATGGTATGGAAGCAGTCTTGCCGATCGAAGTACAAATTCCCTCTCTCCGGATAATGAAGGATGCAAATCTGAATGAAGATGATTGGATCCAGACACGACTTGATCAGCTCAACCTTATTGACGAAAAGAGACTTGCTGCTATCTGTCATGGTCAGACGTATCAGAAACGAATGATCAGGGCATTTAATAAAAAGGTCAGACCACAGGAATATCAAGTCGGGGATCTGGTGATCAAGCGAATCATCCTTCCTCAGAGTGATCCAAGGGGCAAATGGACCCCTACGTACGAAGGGCCATTTGTGGTTAAGCATGTGTTCTCAGGAGGAGCAATGATATTAACCAACATGGATGGTGACGACCTTCCTCACCCCGCCAATGCAGACATAGTTAAAAAATACTACGCATGAAAAAGACCCGCTAGGCTGACATGTCTAGGCAAAAGTTAGGGCTTCCCGTCGAACCAAAAGGGTTCGGGCAAAATGAAGGGATGAAAATGAAAATCTGTACACCCGGCAAGTCGAAAACCCGAAAAGGCGGCTTGGGCAAAAATGGGTATCCCGGTGGACTGAAAACCCGAAAGGGCAGTCCAGGCAAAAATTAGGGATAAAAGCGTAATACTATGTCTCATTGGATCACTGTGCATCCAGAATCCGGTACCTACATCAAGTTCAGACGGCATCGATCAGTCAGCTTCACTTTCAACCAAGGTCATCAAGTGATGAGACGCTCAGGGTTATAAAGGCGATAGCAGAGTTGAAACCCAGTGGATCATTCATATTTCACACAGCTGTTTATTTTCTTTTGTACAAAACTTGTATAAACTCTTTTGTTCGGCGACGTTCCTCTTACTAGGACGTCAGCCTCTTGTATACAAAACGCCTATTCACAGGCTATTCAAAATCAATACAAATATACTTTTCAGTTAAACGTGCCAACTGTTTTTCTTTTTCTGTTTTGTTTTGCGAAGAACGTCCAAGGTTCAATCTGCGATATATGCATTGACAATAATTTGCTAGCTCATAAATATTTGCATACGAAACAAAGAATTAATTGCAGGTGACACTAGAAACAGGGGCAATAAAGAGTTGTCGGAGCAGTCTAATTGTTCTATCCTCCAAGGTACCGAAGTAGGTTCAGCTAAAGAACCTAACCAGGCATCTTAAATTCCCCAGAGAATGAGACAGCAAGTCAGTGCATTCTTCCCCAAACAAAGTTAACAAGTCTCAAGGAAATTGGGTATCCTCCAGTAGATCCCAATATTCCCCCAGCAGCATATATTCTTAACAAGCATCCCCGGCAGTCTTGGTCTAAAGATTGTTCCCCGGCGGCATACATCAACATTCAAAGGAATCACTTCCCCAGCATATCAAAACTTCCCCAGGAGAGTCCCATCCAAGTTCCCCAGGAAAGATGGAATTCATCTCCCCAAGCAGTAAGCTTATCCCCAGTAAATTCTGGAAGCTCATCCCCTAGCAGAGCACGAACGCGTCGTCCGGCTTTATTTAAAGAGTTATTTCCTCAACAGGATATAACTGGGTTATCCTCAGCCAAAAGCCAAGGAAAGGTCGTTGTCAACGTAGTTCCTTCCTATCCCCAGCGAAGTCCATCAATACTTCCAACATAACAACGGTATCCTCAGCAAGTTATCAACAACGCAGCAAGGCATCTCTCTCCCCACAGAGTATTGCTTCCCAGCATGATCGCTAGAGTATCTTTCCTCCCCGCAGAATCTTCCATTCGCCAAGTTTATTCCGCAACGGAGTCATCTTCTCCTACCGGTATCCTTGCAACTATCATCCCCAGCGGAAGTACAAGTTTATTCCTCAATATCAGCCCAGGATACGACTTCCCGGCACCCGTCAAGGATTTACTTTCCTAGACGAAAACATACGTGAAACATCACATACATCATTATAGCATGCATAACGCACTGCATCATACAAATCTCATTTATGTTGAGAACATCATTGCTTGATCCATATCATGCATTGCATATGACTGACTTTTATCTTTCAGGAAAGATCCAGTTAAGTTCTCAAGCTACATTTCAAGACCTAGACCGGTTCGGTTAAATCGTCCCAAGATTTTCCCGATGCTTATCCCGTCAAAGGCCTTCTCTGGTTCAGTCAGATCGACCTAAGATCTCCCTGATGCTTATCCCATTGAAGACATTTCAAGACCTAGACCGGTTCAGTTAAATCGACCCCAAGGTTTTCCTGATGCTTACCCAGTCAAAGGCCTTCTCTGGTTCAGTCAGATCGACCTAAGATCTCCCTGATGCTTATCCCATTGAAGACATTTCAAGACCTAGACCGGTTCAGTTAAATCGACCCCAAGGTTTTCCTGATGCTTACCCAGTCAAAGGCCTTCTCTGGTTCAGTCAGATCGACCTAAGATCTCCCTGATGCTTATCCCATTGAAGACATTTCAAGACCTAGACCGGTTCGGTTAAATCGTCCCAAGATTTTCCTGATGCTTACCCAGTCAAAGGCCTTCTCTGGTTCAGTCAGATCGACCTAAGATCTCCCTGATGCTTATCCCATTGAAGACATTTCAAGACCTAGACCGGTTCAGTTAAATCGTCCCAAGATTTTCCTGATGCTTATCCAGTCAAAGGCCTTCTCTGGTTCAGTCAGATCGACCTAAGATCTCCCTGATGCTTATCCCATTGAAGACATTTCAAGACCTAGACCGGTTCAGTTAAATCGTCCCAAGATTTTCCTGATGCTTATCCAGTCAAAGGCCTTCTCTGGTTCAGTCAGATCGACCTAAGATCTCCCTGATGCTTATCCCATTGAAGACATTTCAAGACCTAGACCGGTTCAGTTAAATCGTCCCAAGATTTTCCTGATGCTTATCCAGTCAAAGGCCTTCTCTGGTTCAGTCAGATCGACCTAAGATCTCCCTGATGCTTATCCCATTGAAGACATTTCAAGACCTAGACCGGTTCAGTTAAATCGACCCTAAGATTTTCCTGATTCTTACCCAGTCAAAGGCCTCTCTGGTTCAGTCAGATCGACCCTAAGATCTCCCTAATTCTTATCCCAGTAGAAGACACCCCAGATTTTTCTCAACGAGCGTTGTTGAAGTTAAAGTCACCCAAGGCTCTCTTACCATTCATGCTAAGGAAGTGATCATCCCTGGTTCTTTCATCGCCGTTTGAAGCTCCAGACTCAGCTCCTGTAACCAGTCAGGACACATCTATATCAAGCATCTGAAATCAGCTCCTGCAACGTGTCAGGTACTCATTTTTCTTTTGCAGGTATGCAGGTTCTCGCTAAAGAATCTCCTACGCGATCAATATCCAGATGGCATCTATAAGCCCATCATCCTATTCATCAACCCCCAAATGGCATCTATAAGCCCATTCCCCCATCACTGCTACCATGTGAGCGCAAATTTCTGGGCACTCTAGTGTCCAATCATCTTCTACCTTCGGATTACGAAAGGCACGTCAGCCAATCTGCATCCTCAGGTCTAAGAAGATTGAACAGGGGCAACTGTTGTACCCCAAAATTTGCCCTCCCATATTCCTCAAGAAATTGCCAAGCCAAGCTAGAAAATTCCCCAAGGGTTGTGCAGTGCAACAGTCTCCCATACAGTCAGAATTAGGGTTTTGAATCTGATCAAGAAAAGGAAGTTTTCAAAGGCCCAATCAAGTCCCATATGCTTACAAACATGGTCAAGCATCCTCATATCAAGTTTCAAGGCATTCAGCTCAAGATTGCACAGTCAAAACCCTAAATTGCACTACAGTCAACTGTAGGGGCAAAATGGTCATTTGGCAGTCAAAAGTTCAAATTTTTGGTCAACATATCATTTTGAAGCCACAAACATCATTTGATCAATGCTTGATCATGATTCTCAAAATTTGGCTCAGAAATCATCAAAGATGCAAAAGTTGCTATATTT